TCAGAGCACACCTCGCTTTTCAGACCGATGAGCTTTGTAAAAATCGACGCGTTTCAGAAAGGCGGGGCATAGAGGAGAAACAATAATGTACAGTATGTGGAAAATAATGTGTTTTTTTAACTTTAAACCGCATAAACACATTTCATTACACCAAATACACAAAATAATGTTCTTTTTAGCAACGTCATATGACCCTCAAGACCTTTATTTTTTAAGAGATATAATTGCTAACAAAAGTTTCGTGTTCGGGTCATTTTGTACCCAGTTATGTATGGAGTTCCATTAGATTTCAAAAATACTTTTTTAAAAGGATCTATAAAGTTATATTAGCATCTAAACACTTTTATAAAATATATTTAGCCTTTTCCGCATATCTCACACACTTTGGGGACTGAATTTTTTTGATAAATATGAATATGTATGCATATTGACAAACCATTGCAGCATGGAAAAATCTGCAGTGCTGGAAAATCTGCAGTGCTGGAAGCATCATGCAAAGAACAAATTGCTACACAATTTTATCCTACCTTCTTCCTCACTCTGCGTCTTTGCTGTTCGTCTGAAGCAGGATAACACCCGTTTTGGGCAGCAGTCACATTTTCCACTTGTGCAGCAGTCATAAATAACCATTAAGGTTATTGTCAATACACTTAAGGCAAGGCTCAAGCAATAGCCTGATATCTGAAAGAATCAATACATACATATGCATATATACATACATACATACACAGGTATATATAGATTTTAAAGGGGTCATATGATGCGATTTCAATTTTTCCTTTCTCTTTGGAGTGTTACAAGCTCTTGGTGCATAAAGAAGATCTGTAAAGTTGCAAAGACTAAAGTCTCAAATCCAAAGAGAAATTCTTTATAAAAGTTAAGAGTCAACCACGCCTCCCTTACACGCCCCCACATGTCTACGTCACTATGTGGAAATATTAGCATAATGCCGCCCAAATGTGCACGCAAAGAAAGAAGGCGTGGTTTAAGGAACAGCAGTAGTGTTGATGCAGCCATGTCAGGGATTTCAGTGCTAAAGCAAACACACTTTATTTGGCCTTCCGGAAGTAGATGCAATTAGAAGAAAAGCTCATAGTAGTGATACTTACCCGTGAGTAATAAATATTTTGGCGAATCATATCTCGCAGCTCTGCCTCATTTCGCATCTCTGCAGCAGGTTTACACCACGACCTGTTGAGTTCCTGATCAAAAACATAAACTCCCTTCCAGTCTGTCATGGCACAAGCAACATAATCGCCATCAAGTAACAAGATGATGACCCACATTAACGATGGCATTAGACAATGTGCTAAAGCTTTAGGCCAGTTCTGCTGAGTATCATCATTCTCTTCTTGAGAACAACGAAACCCATAATGTTTACAAGGTCTTAAAACAAGATACATTAAAGCAAAAATAATAAAAGGAGGACCAATAAAAATAGATACTGTTAGCCATATATTCAGATCATGTCTGCACGGGCATACAAAAAATTTTAGGTCCATCAACTCCTCAAATCCAATTAACGAAAGACTCATGGGGAAAGAACTGAAAACAGTCCTTTTTTGTAGAAATTTGTGTATTTGCTCGACAAGTAATGCCATCTTCTGAGGGACGTTTGATGATGCTTTTGACTGCTCCTCTCTCTCTTGATCTGTGGGAATGTCTGGAGTCCGGTTCATGAGATCTTTAAGTGGTGGGAAGATCTCCTTAAATGAAGAATGTAATTTATCTACATCAGTAATTGAATAATATGGCTCTGGGTACAAATATATGCTCCAAAAAGTACCTATTTGAAGAGTCCATATTTTTGCAAAATACCTATTGTATAATAAAATAATAAATGTTTATCTGACATTAGAGTTACAAGGAAAAAAGTTTGTGAACCCTTTGGAATTAGGTATATTTCTGCATCTTTTTTTAATTCAATCGGCATTGTGAACAATTACTCAATAGCTTCGATACAAATGTAAAAAGTACAACTGTTTGTGTTATTAATTTAGTCTTTAATTTTTTTATAGACAGTGACTTACTCTTTTGGCTCGTGTTGTCTGTCGTGATGTGGTGTGCATCGTTCTGCTTCTGCATCTACACTTGAAGGTGGCACCTTTTAACAAGAAGGGGAAAAAAACAGTTTTTCTCAGCAACAACTTGTGATTTCTCAGAAGAAGAAAAAAGCCACAACAAATTTGAAAAAACAAACTTTCACATCTGTCACGTGCTCAGTGTGAACTTGATCTCATCTGTGAAGAGAATGGGGCACCACTGGTGGACCTGCTAATTCTGGTGCCAATCGAGCTGCACAGTGCTGGGCTGTGAGCACAGATCAGGATGTCAGACCCTAATGCCGCCCTGATGGAGTCAGTTCCTGACAGTTTGGTCCCAAACACGCACACCAGTAGCCTGCTGAAGGTAATTTTTGAGGGATCTGCCAGTACCTCCTTTCACAAAGAAGCAAATACTGGTCCTGTTGCTGGGTTGTTGCCTTTCTTTCCAGTTCTCCTTGTTGTGTAATGGCCCATCTCCTGGTATCTTCTCCATGCTCTTGAGAATGTGTTAGGAGACACTCCAAACCTCCTTGCGAGGGCACGTGTGAATGTATCAGCCTGGAGGAGCTGGACTATCTGCGCAACCTTCTCATGTTTAAACTTCTGTAAAATTTTTGAGTCACAAAGCTTTTTAAATAATTTTTACAGCAATAAGGCTGTAAAATTAGATATAACTTTACACAGAAAAGATCAGGAAGGCTGTGTGTCCACCAAAGTGTTTTTAGGCAGCTGAAAATGCCAAGCGCTCTGCATGCTTCCCACTAAAACACTTGCATCAGGGGGGAAAACCGCTTTGGTGGACACGTGGCCTAAGTGTTTTTTTCTACTCTATGAATCATCAGTCTTGTGGCTATACTGTAAAATTGAGTATTTTAACATATACGGATTGGCCCCATTCACTTCCATTGTAAGTGAAAATTCATTTTCACTCAAAATGTTGAGAGACGCACTTCATATACATGTTTGGCCACAGGCACATCCGTGACATAATCTCACCATCATCTTACAGATAGTGTGCTAGACTGGGTGTGCATGAGAAAAGTTTGTGCTGTACTCACTGTGACAGTGCCATAAACCATACATCCTGTTATTGCATATGAATAACACTTGTTCACACAAAATGGCCCCAATGTATATGCCCATTTGTGAAAGTCTATAACCCAAACTGTTTTGTACATCACGGTATCACTAACACAGTCTTGAGTGGCTTACTTGTTTAAGTTTAAGGTATTAGTATGAACATTTTTAAAAATAAATAAATTTTAGATTTTATATATATACATACTATATATATATGTGTGTGTGTGTGTGTGTGTGTATATATATATATGCACAGCATGACCATCACATGTAAACCAGTGATAGTAATCACAATCACAAGCTCTTTGGATTGACTTTCCCCCCACCTAGAAGACAAAGAACAGACTGAGATTCCTTATGAGACCTCTTAACCTCTGGTCTTCACAGAACATGTCCTTGATCACAGAATGGTACAGAAACTGTCTTTTACATATGCAGATGCACCAAAATGAACTCAAAAGGGCTTATAAACTAATATCAGTCCATTGCTTAACTCCATATCATGTATGTAACCCACACATTGGACTATCATGTTCTTAGCTTTTCAGCCACTGCTTTTTAGTCATGGCTTTTTGCCATTACTTTTGCGTTCTCAGAGTGCCGTTCCAGCGTGCTTCAGCCTGCACGCCCGCTGCTACTTAGCCACGATGAGAAGAAAACCATCTAGTCTTGTTACTTCTATTCTTCTACTTTAATTTACACTGGCTTCCCAAGACGTCACTTCAATGACTACTGAACTTTCATCCAATCAGCAACCTTGGGAAACCCCTTTCGGCAACCAGACAAGGAAGGGAACCCCTTACACAGGCAACGCATGTACCTCCAGACTCCAGCTGAACTGGTGCATTTAATATAATTTTAACCTCATTGAGGAACTCAATGTGAGGGTTAATTAAGTGATTGATGGTTGTTCAGATCTATGCATTCTCTTAAACTCATTCTTTCCTTACTTTCTATCTTCCTGCAAGTTGTGTGAATGTGTGCGTGCGTGTGTTTATGTGTGTAGACTAGTTTATATGTCTTAGATTTATCCAATAAAGTCTTATTGATATTGAAAAGAGAAGTATCTTGTGTTTTGTGCTTACAAGTTAATGTCTTAAACTGCCGATCTTGTTACTGTGCTAATAAATAGTGTTTTCACTATACTTTGGATATTAATATCCATTGCAGAATTGATGTTATACGGCTCCGTATTTCTCACAGCGAGTGTCATGGCGGACGCCCAAATCCACGATAGATTTTAAAATAATACTGTTTTGTGTCACGAAATGCAGTTTTAAGAGTGTTTTAGGCGAGAATGTGCTTGCTTGGACGTCAAATATGCGGTTTGTTAATAAAGATAATGTCTGTTTGAAAATTTGCTTTGGCGTTTTCGGAGACGTGAGCTCCAGCGGCCGTTCAGCGCTCATTACCCCCGCCGAGAGCGCCTCACCGCGGCCAGATCTTCTGGAATTTACCGCTGGCTCTAATGTCTCTATAGTGGTTAAACATGAGATATAATTTGTTTTGGGTAAATCTAACGGGCAGTCTTTGGTATTAATCTATTTGTTCCAGAGCAAAGTTTCATATTTTTATATATTTTAATGCTGTATCAGAGCACTGCAGAACAACATCTAAGGAACTGCAGGCCTCACTTGCCTCAGTTAACCCTCAGGTTGTGTTCGGGTCATTTTGACCAGAAGAGAATATTCTTTCTCCCGAAAATGTTACTTAATGTTATCACATTGGACTAAGATTGACTGACTTTGTTCACACAGGGTATAACTACATCCACAGCAAAACAAATTAATTTTCATTAAACATTTTTTATTTTATTCAACCTTGTTACACTTGTGGTGTCAAAATGACCGGCCTACAAAAAATAGCCTATAAATCTCGTGTTTTGCTATATTATCACATAATATTGGTATCAATCTTTTTGTCAGCTTGTTTTCTTTCAATTAGGACTGGCTTTGTGTTTATTTTTGGAACTGATTTATCGTAGGCCTTATTAATCTGAGCTTGCGTGCATCAGTTTTTGAGTGAAAAAAACATTATTTGTGGATAATTTTGTCAATATTAAATAAAATATGAAAATTATTTGCACTGTTTATCACACTAGCATCCTCTAATGTTTAACCAAGAAATTTGTTTTGAAAAGCTTTTATTTTGTAAAAAATTGCAAAAATA